TTATGCCATTTCACTTCTAGGGCAGACCTACATTGATACCTGTTTTTGCTAACTGAAAGAAATCCAAAGAGGATTTTCACTTTTGTGCAAAGAGCCGTTACCATACTAACGTAGGTCTTTGGTAAAAGCAAAGTGGCCTCACACCAACTTTCTGAAAGCAGGGGATTTCACAGGAATGCCCTATTTTCAAAGGGGAAACCTGTGCTCACTGCACTGCCCTTTGACCTTGGTGTTATTTGGGTCTTAGTATCATACACAGCACTTTCTTACATAGCGGTCCATCAAGTTGTTCCGCGTTTCTATGGGAAGGGAGGTAAAGCCTTATACTTACTGTAGTGTTTACTAGAAATTCAACAACTTAAGGGCACCTGGGTGGCTCAGTCGGTTAAGTGTCCAACTCTTGCTTTCGGATCAGGTCATTATCTCACGGTTTGTGAGTCTGAACCCCACATCTGGTTCAGTGCTGACAGTGTGGAGCCTGCTTGGGATTCTCTCTCTCCCCCTCTCTAGCCCTCCTCCACTCACACGCTCTCTCTCAAAATAAGTAAATAAAAAAAAAAATTCAACATTTTACAGCGTGAATAACTGTTATTAGAATCATTTGCATTAATATTTTCTTATTATCTGTATTCTTGATGCACTCTGGCATCCGGGTTCTCACGAATCAGAGAGGGACTGGGCATCCCCCAAAACTACTCTAGAGATGGCAAACAACTCAACAGATAGCAACCGGCTCAACCAGTTAACACAACTTTCATATGCAAACTCACCCTTCTAGAGCCCACCCCACCTGCACACACACCCCACCCCACCCCAATCAGGCTCTTAAACTCAGGCAATGTTCCCCTCCGCCCCAGTCATCTCAGAGCCAGGTATCTGACAACTAGGAACAGTCCCTATGCGCTAGAGCCTGTTGAAATCAATCAAAAACCCAATTTTAAACCTGCTTAGCCAGCTCATCCTGCCTCACTGGTTCTGTCCTAGAAAATACCCAGGCTTTTCCCCAATACAGGCTTTTCTGCAGTTTCCCTTCTGCTCCCTCTGCCTCCTGAAACCTCCTGTTTCCCCCTGTGGCCCCTTGCATGGCTTGGCATGCTCTATGCCCTGCCTCTAGGGATCTGGGAGTATAAAAACTTCCTACTGTGTGACATTTCTGTGTCTGTGTGTCTTATCATGCCTGATTAAAATAAATCCTGAAGAGGTTTTGAATCATTTTTGTTATTGCTCTAATTACAGTCATATAGTTTGGTGCTAACCCCGTTGTCCCCATAAGGCCTGTTATTTTTTAGTATAAATCCTGCATTCCTTGAGTTCTTCCAGGAAGTCATAGTGTTAAAGCTGAAATACACATCATCTTAAGATTACTTATTATTTGTCTGGTGAGCACATTTCCCCCACTCACCTGAGAGGAATATTAGAATCCCCTGATTAGGGGGACACAGTAAGTATTTTCCTTTCTAACTACCACCAATTCCTCACCTGAGTGAAAGAGTTGAGTAGACTTGTATACTAGGACACAAGCAAAGTATGGGTATAAGGAATATCAAGCAGCTCTCAAAACTGAGCATACAGGGGCGCCTGGGTGGCTCAGTCGGTTAAGCGTCGGACTTCGGCTCAGGTCACGATCTCGTGGCTCACGAGTTCGAGCCTGCATCGGGTTCTGTGCTGACGGCTCAGAGCCTGGAGCCTGTTTTGGATTCTGTGTCTCCCTCTCTCTCTGCCCCTAACCCACTCACATTCTGTCTCTGTCTCTCTCAAAAATAAACATTAAAAATTTTTTTTAAAAAATGAGCCATACATTATTTATATGCCATCAATATTCATCAGCCTATTGCTGTTATATTTATGTGGGGACCTACCCTTTCAACTATAAAGCCAGCTTGGAAAGAGGCATCACAGAGAACGGTAAATTTGAGCAAAAAAGATGTCAGGAAAGTCTATAAAGAAAAGGCTATAGTCTTGGTGATATTCTTCTGTGAGACTTCATTAATTATACCTATATGACTTTACTATTAACAATAGTTTGACAATAATTGACAAATGTATGACATGTATCCATCGCTATGATATCAGAATATGTTCACTGCTCTAAAAATCCTATGTTCTGCCTATTCATCTCTACCTCCCTCCAATCCCTGGTAATCACTGATTTTTTTTTTTTTTAATGTCTCCAGTTTTACCTTTTCTAGAATGTCATAAACTGGAATTTACAGTATGAAGCATTTTTACATTGGCCTCTTTCACTTAGTAATACATATTTAAGGTTCCTTAATGCCTTTTCATGGCTTGATGGTTCATCTCTTTTTACCACAGAATAATATTCCATTGTCTGGATATAAAAGTTTATTTATCCATGCACCTACTGAAAGACTTCTTGGTTGCTTCCAAGGTTTGGCAATTTTTTTTAAGTTTATTTGTTTATTTTGAGAGAGAATGTACAAGTGGGGGAGGGGCCGACAGAGAGAGGAGAGAGCCAGAATCCCAAGCAGGCTCCGCACTGCCTGCGTGAAGCCTGACATGGGATTCGAACTCATGAATGGTGAGATCGTGACCCAAGCCAAAGTTGGACGCTTACCTGCCTGAGCCACCTAGGCATCCCTAAATTTTGGCAATTATCAAAAAAGCAGCTATAAACATCAGTTGCAGATTTTTGTGTGAACATAACTTTTCAACTCCTGTGGGTAAATACAAAGGAATCTGCTGGACTGTACATATGGGTGCGTTTTAAATGAGGATATCAGCAAAGGCTGTGTATCTTTTTGTTGCTGGAGCATACCATAATTGTGGACACAGATTACACATTATAGACAAAGCGTAGTTGTTGATTCTTCTTCTTCGACTTCAAATGCCAAAGGGACTACTCAAGGATCTCATGAGTCATAACGGCCTAGCATGCTACTCAGGTGCCTTGTTGGTCTCTGATATGAAACGTCAGAAAACAGAAGCAAGTTAGAACTGAAGGGTACAGATCTGGAGGTACAGGCAGGAGTAAAGATGGCTGTGAGATGGGTCACACCATGTGGCATAATTCAGTGAGAAACAGGGATGTGAAGAGCTGGTCAAGAGAAATCTGTCCTGTTTGGTCAGTTTAGCATTGGACAAATGTCAAATCTTGAATTTAAGGGCTGAAACTTTACGAAAAGCTTTAATAGGCACCCTGGAGCAATGCTGGAATGCAGCTTCAGGAAGGTGCCAGGGAAGTGGCAGGAGAGGCCACTGAGGAAACGGGGGTTGTTGTAGGAGTAGGATGAAGTTGTAATACGCAACAGCACAAAATGCATCACCTTGTCTCTAGGCTAGCACTCTCTTGGCATAGTTTTCTGTTTATAGTAATATAAAGGGTTGGTGCCCTCAGGAAGACCTACAGATAGGGACAGAGGTCAGGGTTTATTAGAGTGGTGGCAATTTTAGATGTTGGTTGCCTTAGGAGGGGCTTGGAAATATCAACTTGGCTAGTTATTATAAATGCTTTAACGATGGCTAAGTAGCCTAAGTAACTAGAAATCTACTGTATACAGTACCAGACCATACTTAAAAAGATGTGCATCTGGGAGAGAATTCGGGGACTGGTAGATGCCTTGACTTAATCTTGGTTAGAGGTTTCCTTGAAAAATGGCATGTTTAGGGGCGCCTGGGTGGCGCAGTCGGTTAAGCGTCTGACTTCAGCCAGGTCACGATCTCGCGGTCTGTGAGTTCGAGCCCTGCGTCAGGCTCTGGGCTGATGGCTCAGAGCCTGGAGCCTGTTTCTGATTCTGTGTCTCCCTCTCTCTCTGCCCCTCCCCCGTTCATGCTCTGTCTCTCTCTGTCCCAAAAAAATAAAAATAAACGTTAAAAAAAAAAAAATGGCATGTTCCAAATATTTCACCATGGTCTGAAAAAGGCAGAGCTTTTCTTATGTCCTGTCTTCCAAGATAGGTTGGTAAGGACTAGAGAGTTTATTTCTCTTGGATGTCAGAGCACGGTGTATATCATCGATGTTTAAACCAGAACTAAATTGTTGGAAAATCAACTGCATCTAGATTTCTTTTTAATGAATAAGAAGAGTTGGAGGGAAATCACGGTAGCCTTAAAAGCAATCTGACTTAGATACATAGCTGCCCTTAAAAGGTGAAAGAGAACAATTATTGACTCTTCCTCTCAGTTAAAAGTTCCAGTAAGGATGCTTTCTTGTTTTTAATACTTCTTTCCCTCCAAGAAATCTCAAATCACTAGCGGTTTTTGTTGTTGTTGTTGTTGTTGTTTTTAAAGATTTTATTTTTAAGTAATCTCTACACCCAACATGGGGCTTGAACTTTAAATCCCAAGATGAAGCATAGCATGTTCTCCCAACTGAGACAGCCAGATGCTCCACAAGCCATTACAATTTTAAGGATAAAATATGCCATGTTCCCCCGGGTATTTTATAGATATTTACCTTATACAGCTAAAGAAAAAAGGGGCTAAATGTGCTACAAAGTCTTTTGTCTGCCCTCCTTTTGTTTAACTTCTCTTAATGGGAAGTCATAGGAGTTTTGGGGGATAGGCTCAAACCTGTTTTTGGTCTAACCATAAGTTGGGGAATTTTAATTTGAAGAGACATATTCGTAATTAGGAGTCAATGTACATCAGAGCATACACATACCATACATAACATGGGCAAGTACATCAGTGTAATTCTACAGCCCAAATGGGCTCTGCTGGGACAGATCCCTTCATGGCCAAAACTTAAAAGATCATAAACGTGTGCACTGATGCTTAAGATAGACATATCGAGGTTGACCATTGTCATTTCCGAGCAATAATGCTATTTAATCAGATGTGCATATAGCGTAGCCATCCTTTAGGACAGAATTTCAATTAAGTTGACCAACTAGTTGTACGGGAAGTTTCCTTATATACCAAGATGCACTAACATAGTTATGTGATATAGTTTCAGGTTACTGATTTTGCACAAATGAATCTTACCTACCTGTTCCTAGAATGTGTTTGTCATATGGTAGGTACTCAGTAAATGTATTTGAAATAAACGAGAGAATGAATGACACTATTTTTACCAGTCAGTGAAAAATAAATTACCAAACTATATTTGAACAATTTGGTAACAGGTAAGACAAAGGCTAGTAAAACATATTCTTTAAAATGGGATAATCAAAGATACCCTATTTTACAATAAACTGCTTATAATGTTAAGTAGCAGAAAGAAGGGTCTTATACAAAGATACATGTAAACTATGTTTAGATTTAGTTTATAAAGCTTAGCACCTAAATCTACCTAAAAATAACTCACGTAAAATACTAGTATCTCACTTATAAGTTTGAATTACTATTCTTTTAGACAAAACCAACTGTCATTTAAGCATTGTTTTTTAAAATATTTTTATTACTCCTATTTCAACCCAATCCTCTCAGGAGTTTATAATTGGCTATGCTTCAGACTGTTGAATTAAAAAAGTATTTCTTGGGGCGCCTGGGTGGCGCAGTCGGTTAAGCGTCCGACTTCAGCCAGGTCACGATCTCGCGGTCCGTGAGTTTGAGCCCCGCGTCGGGCTCTGGGCTGATGGCTCAGAGCCTGGAGCCTGTTTCCGATTCTGTGTCTCCCTCTCTCTCTGCCCCTCCCCCGTTCATGCTCTGTCTCTCTCTGTCCCAAAAATAAATAAACGATGAAAAAAAAAAAAATTTAAAAAAGTATTTCTTTGGCGGGGGGGTGCCTGGGTGGCTCAGTCGGTTAAGCGTCCGACTTTGGCTCAGGTCATGATCTCATGGTCCGTGAGTTCGAGCCCCACGTCGGGCTCTGTGCTGACAGCTCAGAGCCTGGAGCCTGCTTCGGATTCTGTGTCTCTCTCTGCCCTTCCCCTCTCGAGCTCTGTCTCTCGCTCTCTCTCAAAAAAATAAACATTAAAAAATATTTTTTTTAAGTATTTTTTTTAAGTTTATTTTTCAGAGAGCATGCTCACAGGAGGGAGGAAGGGCAGAGAGAACCCCAACCAGGCTCCACACTGCCATTACAGAGCCCAACACAGGGCTGGACCCACAGTGAGATCATGACCTGAGCCAAAATCAAGAGGCTGATGCCCAACAGACTGAGCCACCCAGGCACCCTCAAAAAGCATTCTTAAAGAGCGTACTCCCTCTCCTAAATCAGACAATTCACCTACAATAATAGTAGAGGGAATGTATTAGGGTATAGACCTGGTAGAAGTGGTAATGAAAGCCTGGGAAACCCCTTCCTCTTTTTTTTTTAAGTTTATTTTTTTATTAAGTAATGTCTACCCTAATGTGGGGCTCAAACTCCTGACCTCGGAGATCAAGAGTCTCCAGCTCTCTGACTCAGCCTGCCAGGCCTCCAGGGGGGTAAGTCCTTTTTTAACTGAAACAGGATGCAAGGTATCAGCATGGTGTCAACTAGGTGGAACACAGAAGTAGAAAATGTTGCAAGCTTGACAGAAGGTGTGAAACAGTTCTTCAGGAAAGTGGTGCTATGAATGAATGGTCTAGGAAAACGTTTCAGGATTTTAAGGAAGTATGCATGATTGTCTTATATGTTTAATGCAATGATCATTCTTGCTGTAAGCAGAACAGGTGATCTTTAATTCCCTGACACTAATTCTTACATCTTAGACATATCTCCATGGTGTTATGAATATTATCCTCTAAAAATACAGCTTTTTGGGGCACTTGGGTGGCTCAGTTGGTTAAGTGCCCAACTTCGGCTCACATCATGATCTCACAGTTAGCGAGTTCGAGCCCGGTGTCCAGCTCTGTGCAGCCCGGAGCCTGATTCAGATTCTGTGTCTCCCTCTCTCTCTGCCCTACCCCCACTTGTGCTCTGCATCTCTCTCAAAAACAAACATTTAAAAAGTAATAATAAAAATAAAAGTACAGCTTTTCATTTATTTTTATTGCCAGGCACTCACAAAAATTAGTTTTGATCAGTTTTCTCACAATTCAAAAACCTCTAATGGTTCTGAGCTAGTGCATTCTCCCCAGGACAATTTCTTTAAATCTAAGCCTCATCTTATCCTTCATACAATTCTATATTTTAAGCTCTAAGACTACCAAAGTTCTTGAAATTTGTCATGCACTTCCACGATTCTGCTTTTGACTAGTATTCTGTTTGTATGGAATATTCTTAAGTCATTTGAGATCCTATTCATTCTTTAAATGATTTAGCTCAAATGCTACAGCATTCATTCACTTAACTAATATTTAGGAACTTACAATGTATCGGGCACTGGGCATACAAAGCAAAAAAGAAAAAAAAGGATAAATACTGAAAAATTAATATAAGGGAATACCTGTTCAGCTGCTACAATGAATGAACCAGAGTTACGTTACACTGGTAAATCTTAAAAACATAAGTTAACAAGCAAGCTACAAAAGGATATATACACTGCTGATTGTTAAATTATGCAAAACATTACTATATATATTGTTAAAATTAAAGCATAAAAGCGCTTGGGAGAGTGGTTACCTTGGGCAAGAGGGAACAGAATGAGACTGCGTGGGTCAAAGGACTTCGATTTATATTATCAAGGAATTTATGTAATTTATTTCTGCAGTTAGGTGGCGAGTACACAATGTATGATTTATACTTTTGTCTGTATAAAATAGTCTACATTTGTAAAGGATATGTAAGGCTTGATTCCCTCCTGAAAACACTGCAGATCTGTCTCATAACCCGTAATCTAAAATTACCTTCTGTCTCTTGTACTCTCGTTTACCGTATTGCCTCGATGCACTCATTAGGTAGGACACTAGATCCTAAGGGTAGGAACTTGCAGGTATCACCTTCAAGCATATTCACATGTTATGCTCTTTCCAGCGGATTCCTGACTTCTCTCCAGTCCTCTCGGGCCCAACTAGGCCTTCTAAGAATTTCAGCTTGCCTCTTCCAACCGACCCTAGAATAGCTCCGCTCAGACCCCGGATTGCTGTCCCTCTCGCCCCGGGAGGCCTCAATTCGTCCCGTGTGCGAAAGCAGAAGGTACCTCCCCCAATGAAACCCGGGATATCTCCCGTTAGCCGACTCTGGTCCATCCCTATCAGAGGCTGCCTTTCTTCTCACCTCCAGCCCAGCGCCACAAGCCTCCAGCTTCGCTCGACGAGCGGCGGTTCAGCTCGTCCCCCCTCCCCCATTCCCTACGCAACACCAGTTCCGGCCTAACCTCACCACTCACAAACATCTCACTTCCAGCCGGGAAAAAAAAACAAAAAACAAAAAACAACACTGGCTTGGTCCTTTGCGCACGCGCAAAACGGCGGACAGGGCCGAAATTTTCGCCTCCCGGCAGTGTCGCCGTAGTCTCGCGGTATTTGCTTGTCCCGCGGGAGTTCTTTTGAACGCTCTGGCGGTAACCCCGCCCTGGGTGCTCAGCTGCTGGCGGACCGGAGCCGGAGGCGGATTAGGGGTCTGGTCCCGCAGTCTGTCTGGTCCCGCCGTCTGTCGGGGCCGCAGTACCCCTGTGCGGACGAAGCTCGTCCCAGCCAAGTCACGGCGCCATGGGGGCGGAGTAGAAGCTGCTGTCGGTTAAGGAGGCCTTTCAACTGGCGCAGCAGCCGCACCAGAACCAGGCGAAGTTCGAGGTGGCGCTGAGCCGCACCTACTGCAAGGTCAGCGCGGCCCCAGCCTCGGCCGCCGTCCTGCCGCGCTCCCGTGACCCCCAAGTGGCCCTTGAGCGCACGCTACCCCTGACGGTCTTCGTAAGACGATTGTAGGGAATTTTGAATTTCATTACCGTTTTACCTGGTTTACTTGTTTAGAGACCCATGTTGTTTTTAATGATTATAGTCTTGTGTCTCTTTAGGTTAACAGCTCACGGACTTTTAACATACATCTTCATTTCATTAAACTAGGTTTAAAATACATATATAAGTACATATTTATGTTTTTGCCCTGTAATGATTTTAACAAAACACACTTTTAAATTCTTGACAAAATCAGTGCAAATAAGTGCATCTTTGTTACAAACCAGCGACTTTTCAGGTTGATATATTTATCGCCTTTTTTGTTTTTGTTATTATTATTTTTTTTTTTTGTAGACTATACCCAGTACCGGTGGTGGGGGTGGTGGGGAGGTTAGAGGGATGGGGGGTGGAGGGGGGTGGGTTGTTGGTGGTGGTGACCCAGCTCTGGGCTTGAACTCACAACCCTGAGATCAAGACCCGAGCTGAGATCAAGAGTTGGTTAAGAACCAACCGAGCCACCCAGGCGCCCGTTTATTGCCTTTTATTTATTTATTGCCTTTTATTATGATTTTAAGAAATAGAAAAAAATGTTAGGTGCAGGAGTTTTTATTTTAACTCAGACTTCACACGACATGAATCAGTAAATATTTTACAAGCACTAACTACACAGAAGAAATGCTCCTTCCTAGTCCCCACCAGTACTGTCCCTCATAGTCTTCTACAGGTAACCATTTTTTAAATTTTTTTTTTTTAATGTTTCTTTATTTTTGAGAGAGAGACAATGCGAGTGGGTTAGGGGCAGAGAGAGAGGGAGACACAGACGCAGAAGCAGGCTCCAGGCTCTGAGCTGTCAGCACAGAGCCCGACGCAGGGCTTGAACTCGCAAGCTGTGAGATCATGACCTGAGCGGAAGTCGGTGGCTCAACCGACTGAGCGACCCAGGTGCCCCTAAAGGTAACCATTTTTAATCAGTTTCTTGTTTATCCTTCCAGTCTTCATGCGAATACAAGCAAATATGACTATGCATGCTTATTTCCCTCCATTCTTTCTTCAATATTTTCTGCATTGTTTTGCACTTTGCTTTTTTCACTTAATAGTATATTCTGGATATTCCTTATCACTGTCTAGTTACATTTCCTCTCTTTTTTTTTGTTTTTTTTTTCTTTTTTTAGCTGTGACATATTCCATTTTGTGGACATACTCCAATTTATAGCCAATCCACTATATGTACACGCTTGTTTCCAGCCTTTACATATTCAAAACAATTTTTTTTAACCTTTACACCCAAGGTGGGGCTCAAACTCACAACCCTGAGATCAAGAGCCCGTGCTCCGCGGACTGAGCTAGCCAGGTCCCCTAGAAACAATATTTTAATGAATACATGTCGTATCCTACATTTGCACAGGTAACTGTCAGATTGTCTGAAGAGAACTGGGTCAGGTAGGAAATGCATTTTTTTTTTTTAAGTTTATTTATTTTGAGAGAGACAGAAGCAGCATAAGTGGGGTAAGGGCAGAGAGAGAGGAGAAGGAGAGAATCCCAAGCAGGCTCCTCTTTGCCAGTGCAGAGCCCAACTGGTGGCTGGAGCTCAGGAAACCTTGAGATCCTGACGTGAGCTGAAATCGAGAGACAGAAGCTTGACTGAGCCACCCAGGCGCCCCTTATAGGAAAGGGATTTGTAAATGTGATAAGTACTGACAGCTGCCCTTCATAGAGTGGTCCATTCTACACTCCCAGCAGCCAAGGATGAGAAGTATTGCTTTTTTTTGTTTGTTTTGAGGAGGAGAAGGAAGTTTGGGAACCACTGGAATATAACCGAGAGGATGTTTTATGATAGAAAAGAAAATTGTAAGTGAAATCCTGAACAGTGTGGGAATATGAGTTACAATGATAAACAATTCATCAAAAAGAAAAGAAATTGCTCTATTATAGGAAGGCGTAATTGTAAAAGGCAGTGTTGAATTGACACCAGTGGGTTTTTTCTTTCCTTTTTTTTTTTTAATTTTTTTTTTTTAACGTTTATTTATTTTTGAGACAGAGAGAGACAGAGCATGAACAGGGGAGGTCAGAGAGAGGGAGACACAGAATCTGAAACAGGCTCCAGGCTCTGAGCTGTCAGCACAGAGCCCAGTGCGGGGCTCAAACTCATGGACCGCGAGATCATGACCTGAGCCAAAGTCGGCCGCTTAACCGACTGAGCCACCCAGGTGCCCCTCCTTTTTTTTTTTTTTTTTTAACTGAATTGTATGTATCTTTCCTAAGTAGATTGAAGGGTGTGTAGAAGAATCAAGAGAATCTTTTGTAATCAAAATCTGTGCTGCCTTGCTCCATAACAGAAATAAATCAAAAACAGAGCAGGAGTAAATGATTATTCAAGGCTATCTTCCTTAATAATTTCTCCTTCTGGATAGGCATTTAAGAGTTATTAAAGAATAAAGATTTTAGTTTGTTGAGAAATTATTAATACCTTGGAGTCTTAGGTCAGTGCTAGGAATAAAGACTTAACAATGTAGTTTGAAGGATTGTTTTTATATTTCTGGATATCAGTAAAACATTTTTTGAGGAGGCACTTGTTCATACCTTAAATACATTATGATAGTCTGTAAATATGAACCTGCAGAGGAGTGAGAAATACACTTTGTAGCAGTTTATTTTACTTTCATTTAGCCAAACTGAAGGCAGAAGAAGTGACATTTCAAGTTATTTTAATTGTTTTACCTTCTCTTGAAATCATTTTTTGTTAACATTTACAGTGAGTGTGTATCATTTAAAAATTTACTGGGTTTGGGGTGCCTGTATGGCTCAGTCAGTTAAGTGTCCAACTCTTTTTTTTTTTTTTTTAATTTTTTTTTTTTTAACATTTATTTATTTTTGAGACAGGGAGAGACAGAGCATGAACAGGGGAGGGGCAGAGAGAGGGAGACACAGAATCTGAAGCAGGCTCCAGGCTTTGAGCTGTCAGCACAGAGCCTGACACGGGGATAGAACTCACAGACTGCAAGATCATGACCTGAGCCGAAGTCGGCTGCTTAACCGACTGAACCACCCAGGTGCCCCATGTCCAACTCTTGATTTCAGCTCAGGTTCATGAGTTCGGCCCCGTGTTGGGCTCCTCCCTGACGACGCTGAGCCTACGTGGGATTTTTCTCTCCCTCTCTGTCTGCCCCTCCATGGATTGCTCTCTCTCAAAATAAAAAACTTAAAAAAATTAATGGGTTTAAAGCTTTAAGAGCTTATAAAATTTATTTATTTTTCGGTGTTTATTCTATTATTGAGAGAGAGGACAAACCGCGGAGGGGCAGAGAGAGAGGGAGACAGAGGATCCAAAGCAGGTTCCGCAATGACAGCGGCAAGCCCGGTGTGGGGCTCAAACTTACGAAACCACGAGATCATGACCTGAGCCAAAGTGGGACACTTAACTAACTGAGCCACCCAGGCACCCCAAGAGCTTGCATAATTTAGAGAAAAGACAGCTCCCAGGGGTCTAAATTTACATGTGATGATAAGTAAGTTCATGGTATATGTATATACACACATATTTTTTTTTTCAACGTTTTTATTTATTTTTGGGACAGAGAGAGACAGAGCATGAACGGGGGAGGGGCAGAGAGAGAGGGAGACACAGAATCAGAAACAGGCTCCAGGCTCTGAGCCATCAGCCCAGAGCCTGACGCGGGGCTCGAACTCACGGACCGCGAGATCGTGACCTGGCTGAAGTCGGACGCTTAACCGACTGCGCCACCCAGGCGCCCCATACACACATATTTATGTTCTATGAAAGTCACCTTATAAATATTTTCTATGATAAAATATTACAATCAAAAGCCAATTTATTGTATAATACTAGGTTTAATTTATTTTGTTTACTTTTCTAATGCTACCTTATTTTTTTAAGTTTATTTATTTTGAGAGAGAGAGAGAGAAAGTGTGAGTGTGGGAGGAGTAGGGGGTCGCTCAATCTCCTAGAGCACAGAGCCTGATTCATGAGCCATGAGATCATGTGCTGACAGCAAGAGTCAGCTGCTCAATGCACAACTGACTGAGCCACCCAAGCACCCCTGTAATGCTAGCTTTAATTTAAAAAACTTAGGAACCAGTTTGAGGCAAATATATTTAAATGAGTACTTAAGAAGATCAAAGACTTTTTTTTGATCCAAAAATTATTGCATTCTTGTTATTTGGCAAATATTATTTCAGGTAAAGGTTATTTTGAGACTCTATTAAATATATATTTAGTAAACCTATGCATGAAATTAACATAACTTTTTTTGCATGAATTATGGCTTCCTTATGAATTATTGAATTCTGGAATTCTGAACCTGGGGAAAATCAAATGGTTGTCATTATAATGCCACCTGGGAATAATTTGATTTATGTATTTTTTTTCAGGACTGAGGCAAATAGCAATGAAGTTGGGTTTTTAGTGTGCCAGATTCTAAGTAAATTCTTGGGAAAT